ATCTCAGAGAGAATGGGAGACAGAGAGCATGAGAGGGGGAGGATCAGAGGGAGAAGGAGACTCCCCGCTGAGCAGGGAGCCCGATGTGGGACTCGATCCAGGGACTCCAGGATCATGACCTGAGCCGAAGGCAGTTGCTTAACCAACTGAGCCACCCAGGCGCCCCAAATCAATAAATCTTTAAAAAATGTCTGCTTTACACAGAAGCAGGATTAAGATTACAATCATGCAGGCCAGCTTTGCACATATTTAAGCGTGCTTTTAAAAATATCCTATTGAATCAGTATAAAATTATGGGGTCACTGTGATACTAACTCATCTCCTCTAACAGTTTACAAAGCTCTTTTAAATTCAATAAGGAAGAATGACTCTCTTATTTCACCTTTGAAAGGAACCTCGGCAGTGTGGCTTGGATCAAACCATCCAGTGCATGCGGTTGGGTGTACATGTGTTTGTTTACGGATCATTACCTACTTGAAAGAGAAGTGGAGGAGGAGAAAGCAAAGATGAAACCTGCTCGTGGGTCTCAAAATTATTCAGGTGCTGGAGCTTCTGTCTGAATGAACACAAATCATTGAACTCAAGACTTAACTAAAAATTTAGGGGAGGAAAGGCTGCTAGTCTCATTTTCAGCAGGGGACCCCCTCGTCCAACTTGAAGCATGCCATGGGGGTGGAGGAGGAGAACAGAGCAGCGGGGCTTCATTTCCACACTCTTCAGGAACACACCTGTTGTGATGTGAGGTGCACCTGTATCTGAGCTTGGGCTGGGGCGCTCTTCTGGATGGAAATAGCAGAAAAGCACCCGCTTCCGCCCAGGTTCTCAGCCAGGACCCCTTTGTGGATTGCAGGCAGGCCCTGCCCACAGCAGTGGTGGAGACCATGCACTCACATCTCACAGAGCTGGTCCTGCACAGCAGGTACTCACCCGGCCCTGGGCAGCGGGGATGGTGCAGCAGGAGAAGGTGACTTAGCGTCCCAGGCCCCGCTCTTACGACCTGCACAAACACACACACAGGTCAGTCCCCAACTCCTGAACCTGGGGCCGATGGTCACAGTGAGGCTGGCCTTCCCGAGAAGCTCAGAAATACAGGCACATCTTTGGCTTCTTTCAGTTAAGCATGTATAGGTGGTTACATTGATGCTATTGGGGAAAATCTGTAGGCAAAGATGATGGCATATTTATATAATGTCAGTTTATAAGCTCAGAACCAGGATGTGAATTAGGGACTCCATCCTAACATTTCTAAATGACTTCCTCTTTTTCCCAATGGGACAAGTGTAGAGCCCCTTGATTTTATGGGTTCAGTGAAGGGCCCCCAGGCCCACAGCCAAGAGCACCCACTTGCATCTATATCCGCTGCAGATGGGCACACCAGTGGTGCCTGGAGACGGAAAGACACGGACCCACCACTCCTGCTACGTGCCTCTAGCCATTGCTTTTGCATGATCACACTGACTTATGCTCTACACACCTAACCTCCCAACCAGAGGCTCTTCATTCACCTCTGAATTCTCAGGACCTCTGCCCATTGCCAGATAGGCACATTGAGACAAATGACAAGCTACTGCCCAAATCTCATCTTCCAAAGTTACAGAAGGGACCCAGAGGGCCTTGTCCACTGCACCTCATTTCCCCCCAAGACAGAAAGCAGACAATCACGAGGGAGGAACTGAGAGACAGGCAGAGCTTCACCGCTGGGACAGAGCAGGCCTGGAGGGGAGCGCCAGACCCTGGGCCAGCTCCCCAAGCGTCTCCTGCCTGCCTCCTCTCAGGCTGATGCTCGCCTGCCTGGACATTACAGCTCCGTAAGACAAAGCTCTTTATTGCCTTAGAACGAACCGAAGATCTATTTTATTAGGAACCTACTACATTTCTAAGTCCACAATTCCTATTGGACCTACAGGGGTACTCTGTAAATAGAGGTTGGACCTGCCCTCGGTATGTCTTATTTTAGTTTGCAAGATAAAGCACAAATAGGTGAGCACAGAGACATAATCACATACGAGGAATTACTGAGAAGCTGGTACGGGAAGAGCACTGTGTTGGGGGTTGTGGAAGAGCTGGAGAAGCAGGGATACGCCTCTGCGTCCTCGGGATTTATAACCTGAGGGCACGCACACACTGTGCCCCCTCAGCTGACAGGACCACCTATCCCAAACACAAGAAAGGGGCCTCAAGAACTATTGAAAATAGAGCTCATGGGGCGCCTGGGTGGCTCAGTCATTAAGCGTTTGCCTTCGGCTCGGGTCATGATCCCAGGGTCCTGGGATCAAGCCCCGCATCAGGCTCCCTGCTTGGTGGGAAGCCTGCTTCTCCCTCTCCCACTTCCCCTGCTTGTGTTCCTGCTTTCCCTCTCTCTCTCTCTCTGTCAAATAAATAAATAAAATCTTAAAAAAAAAGAAAGAAAATAGAGCTCATAAAGCTCATTCTCATGTACTTTACTAGAGAGAGGCCTTCAGGCCTTCACTCAGAGCCCATCCACCCGTCTTCTACATTCAGTTCTTACACGGGGCCAATTTCCATGAACGCTCACAAATGAGAAGAACAGCCAAGAGTGCGTGGTGTCGCCTCCCCAGCACTCTGTGAGGAAACGGCCCCTCCATGTGACTCCCGCTTAGATGTTATCTGACCTTGATGTGACTTTGGAAAATATTTTGGAAACATTTTGAAAAAGAGACCACATTTGGAATTTTTAATATTTCACATGATGATAAACTGAAATGTCATCTGGAGTATGCGTCCAACTGTGTTTCATCAGCTAGTGGACCAAATTGATGCTGTTCTTCGAATTCTTTTTTTTTTTTTTTT